AATAGTAATAAAAAATAAAAAGAAAATAAAACACGTCGAGCTAAAAAAGTATAAGATTAATATTATACTAAACTTGAAAAGCGGTCACGTATACAAAAAACAAATTGTGAGCAAGGGCTGGACAAAATTAAGCTGATAGTGGGAATTGGTGAGTTAAAAAGTTCGTGAAGTAGATCTCAGTTAAAGAGAGCTCAAGTTAAGCACAGGATAGTCACTAAAGGTCAATCAACACTGAGAAGAAAAGCAGAGAGGAAGTGCTCCCGTAAATGTATCCTGAATTGAGGGTTTCCGGGCCCGCCTCCTCAAGACGACGGGCAAGTCATTCCACAGCCTTGAGGTGTAGACAGTGAAGGAGTGCTTGAAGCATTCGGTGCGTGCGTGGGGAATAATCAGATCTATTTTGGAACGTCTCTTTGACCCCGGACCGTCAACGGAGATAAATTGCAAGCACTCCCGCAGGTAGCTCGGCTCACCGTGACAGAGCACATCAGCAAGCAGACACAGAAAATGGTAATCACGATTATCCTCGTAGCCAAGTACTCGGAGCTGCCTGTATACAGGGGTAATGTGCTGGTGGATCCTGGTACCAGTGACGAAGCGCAATGCAGCGTTCTTACATTGGCGCAACTTAGTCCAAAGCTCAAGTGAGAGGTCAAGGAAAAGACCAGGGCAGTAGTCCAAGTAGGGGAATATTAGGGCCTTGACCAGAGTAAGCCGCACCACCCGAAGTAGAAAATCACCACATTCACGCAACCGTATAAGGGCCGCAAAATACTTGCGAACCGTGGCGATGGTCTGATAAAGGCCAGACAGCGTGCTGTCAATGAGTACTCTCAGTATATTTAGGACACGCAGTACAGGCAGACGTTCCAAATCCAAATTTGTAATAAAGTTTCTGGTAGCAATCCAAGCGGCCTGCAATTTTTCAGGCTTGATATGCAGGCAATTTGAAAGGGCTCACCTCGACAGGGCCTCAAGGTCAAAGTTAGCATCACCAACTTTACGAACGACCTCATCACGGGGTCCGCTCCTCCAGAGTGTAAAATCGGCCGCATACATGTGGTAGTAGCAGTAGTGAAGGACCAAAGGTGCGTCGTTGATAAAAAGGACGAACAGCAACGGGCTGAGCTGGCACCCCTGTGGCACACCCGCCATCCTAGAGGTGAACGGGAACAAGAACCATCCGAGGAAATAACAGACTGAGATCTGCCAGTCAGAAAGCTCCGAATCCATCCAGCGGCCAGCAGAGAAAATCCAAGAGCCACGAGTTTATAGACCAAGAGCTCGACGTTAACAAGATCGAATGCTCTGGCAAAGTCGACAGAGATCATACTAGTGATCATCTTGTTGTCAACAGCCCGGCGCACACCATCAACTATTTGAAGAAGAGCTGAGTGAGCACTATGTCCTCTGCGAAATCCTGACTGTAGAGGATCGACAAGCTGCTCATGCCTGACAAACTCGTCGATCTGACGTAGTGCAACAAACTCAAGAAGCTTAGATAGTGCACAAGTAATACTGATAGGTCTCCGGTCATCAAGGCTCCGGGGAGGGAAGCGCTTGGGAATCGGATGAACAATAGCCCTCTTCCATCTGGACGGAAAGATAGCCGATTGCAGAGATAAATCAAAGATATGCAGCAGAACAGGTAAAATCGCAGGCACACAACCCTTAATCAAAGAAATAGGCAGGTCATCCAGGCCTCTGGCGTTTAATCCAATCGATACCAGAGCATCCAACACGTCAATTTGAGTGACGTGGTGAAAATAAAAACCGTCACCCATATGTCTCAATATCGGTGCTTGCACGACATGTGGTGTGTCAATAGCGTTACCGCAATCGGCGAAATGTGCATTCAAGGATTCGACGTCGACGAAAATACCATCAGTTGAGCGTTCCTTCACACGCATGCCAATCTCATCAATGCAGTGCCAAAGCATCCTAGCATCGGTGCACCTTGAGAGCCTATCACGATAATAAGCAGATTTTGCATTGCGGATCTTGGTTTTCACCTGATTGCGCAGCAGCTAGTAGATATGGTGGTGTTCGGGTCTATCCGTCCTTCTATATACAGACCATGATTTATTGCGCCGAGCAATTAAGGACTTGAGCTCTGAGCAGAACCATGGGGCATGTCGTCTTCTAGCCGTAATGCTTCGATAAGGGGCATGGCTATCGTAAAGCCCCACAATGGTAGACGTAAGCCAGTCAACCTTTTCGTCTATAGTGTTAAAAGAGTGCAGTGCTTCCCAGTGGATGGCAGAGAGATCATATTTAAATCTTTTCTCGTCGAATGACTCGAAGCATCGGCACACAATCCTAGCATTTGAGGGCATAGGTAACAAGAAGTCAAATTTGGCCAATAATACGTCATGCTTAGATATCGATGGAGGACCAAATTGTTTGCTAGACAGCACCCGAGAACGGTCACTGACACATATATAGTCGATGGTAGTGTGCGATGAACAGGTGTGGTGAGTAGGAACAAAGGGTAGAGGCTCAAGACCAAATGCATCAAAGCAGCTATGATAATTCTTCTCGGAGTAGAGTCAACGGCCCAATCAATGTTAAAATCACCCACAAGCAGTGAATAGTCACATGAGCGATCGCAATTGAGTAGAGCATTCTCCACGTCAGACCAGTATCCACTTTTGGGCGGGCTGTAAACAACTCCTAACAATATCCGTGTGTTCACTACACGTAGTTCAATAAACATACTGGGCCATATGTCTGACTGGGCCACCGGGCCGATAAACTGAGCGTCCAACAATTTCTCCTCGGTAGGCGGTACTAACATACGCCGCCACAACTCCACCAGCCCTGCCCGAACGGTCAACACGCAGCAGCTGGTAACCCTCAATATTCAGTAGATTAGAGTGCTTCTCTGGATTCAGCCACGATTCATTTATCGCCAAAACATGAGGAGCGCGGTCGAGAATAATCTAACTAATATCGATAAAATGGGGTTCAAGCGATTGCGCATTGATGTGACCAATCTTGAATGTTGAGGCACTACACTGAGCCATAGTCGATCAGTGAAATAATTCGCTCGATACGCTTACACAGCAGTGGACACTTCCTCTTATCGGTGGCAGAGTGAAACGTGATCATCATAACGGCACGAAGACTATCCAATACTGATTCTTGAGCGCCGACGCAGGGCAATCCTCACAGTTGGCTTGACCTCGATCACACAGGATCTCGCTTTTTTTCCTTCGCGTATTGGATACAGGTAAAAGACCCTGACATCAGCAGTGGAAAAGTTCTTGTGGTTCTAGTCCAGTATTGAATCGACAATTTCCTCCTCTTTCAAGTCGCTGGGAATGTCATGCAATATCATCCTTGGGTTAAGCTTGAGGTCAGACTTGATCTCCAGTCCAACTTCAGCAAGAGACGTGCACTCAGCAATCGCTGAGGCCTCCAGCGAGTCACTTTCTATAATCACTGAGCTATCAGGCCCATAGAGCATACGTTGCACATCGAATTTCATGCTTCTAGAGTTTATAGTGTACAAAATAGCCTCCTTCGTATCCTTCAACGAGTGAAATTCAGGGCGGCGGCTCTCAATGGGACCAAGAGTCAGCCACTTAACTTGTTTGGCCACGAAAAATTTGCCGGTCCCCAGCGAAACGCTCTGCGATGCTAAGGCAGCAGACGAGGAACGAGACAAGACATCAGCAAAGGAGAGACCACTCGCATGGGGACGGACACCAGCGGACAGCGATTCAGCAGTCTTCTCGATACGCTTACAGGTGTTCTTGACCACCGCACTGCATGATTCAATTATCCGTTCCTCATGAAGCCTGCACATGTAGGCACCAGAAATAGAAGTAATCGCTTCGCAAAATGAATTGACAGCCAACCGAATAGTTTTCTTTCAGTTAGTTTCCTTTTCATTGCAAAGGCGCTCAAGCAGTATATCACGATCATCGTTAACGCGCTGTTTGTTTACTTCTTCGGCAGTCAAAAGCAGAGACTGTGAGCCGTCGTTTCCAGGAAACACATCGCGGCGTAGCCTCTTTCGGATCTTATCACATGTAGGCTCGACGTTGGTGTCCGAATTATACGGTGTGTACACACTTCAGCGACTCAAGAGAGAGGGAGTGTAGAGTGTAGAGTGTATTTATTTAAGCCAAGGACCTACGGTCCGTATTAGCCTAGGTTCAAGTCTTTACAAGACTGCTAAAAGCAGTTTATACAAGGTTAGTGACACGCAGGTCACAATAGTACAAGACATATCACAGATAAATTAATTACAATAAAGTTATTTAAGATAAAATGTTAATTAATAGTTAAAATAATTTGAAATCAATAAAACAATAAAAATAAAATATGATAAAATCCGCTGATGGTTACAGTACTCTTAAAATTTTTAAAAATAAGCTAACTTAATTGCAAATGTAACATCATATAAAATAATATATAATTTCATTACTTAAGTCCAAAATCTTCACTAACAATATATTTAAATAATCTGCTTTTAAATAATGCTGGAATTTGGATGGATCGTAGAGGGAGAGAGAGAGAGAGAGAGAGGAAGAGTGTTTAAGAGTGTTTAAGAAATTTATTACGCCTAGGGGAAGATCCCCATCTGGCCAATTTGAATTACAGAGTTACTGGCAACTTATAAAATAAAACTTAAAGGCTAAGGTTTACAGAAAATGTTAGATACAAAGTAAATACTAATAAGTGCAAGAGTGTGACTTACAAGTGAGAATAAAATAAAATGAGGAAAGAAGCGAATGGAAAGGCTAATGTTAACGAGAGAGCTAATTTATTTAATGCAGAAATAGACGGTGAGAGAAAGGCTGGGTGAGAGATTTTGATGGCTTGAGAAGGCAGTGTGGTTGAATGAAGGACGAAAGAAGACTGGTAAAGAGAATGAAAGGTCATGTATAGGTCAGGCGAGGAGAAAGGGTGATGAGCGTGTGAAATGTAAGTTGAGAAATGACGCGTAACAAAGTTAATGAGATAACAAAGGCTTGGAATGGCGATACGTGAGGTGTACGAGGGTGTCAGGGAATTGTGAAATGAGTATGAAAAATGACGCGTGACAAAGCTGTTGCAGTCGCAAGGCACGAGATGGCGATATGTGGGGTGCTTGGGGATGACTGATGGTCGACCTCACCAGGCTGCCCACATCGCCTAAGGTCCAGGTGGAGGAGCCGTTGGCGTTATTAATCCCTCACGCTCGACACGTTCGTTCCACTCGTTCCGATCGCGTTGCAATAGTGTGTCATGAAGCATAACTTTAAAAGACTGGTATGAGAAATCAGTAAGGTTGATGGGGGTGAGAGAGTTGAGTAGGTCAGAAGTTTGGATGAAGAAGGTATCATCACGTGCTCGCGTGCGAGATGGGAGGACTATGAGGATAGGATGTGGACGGCGCAGTGTATGGTGATCTGAGGTTGAATGAGATGTGGCGTGGAATCGATTGGCGTGATAAGCGGGGCATTGATGGCGAATAATGTTAAATGCAAGACACCCCAGGTGGTATTCGCGCCTGCGACGAGCCGAGAGCCAACCAAGCCCCAGCCGGAACGGTGTGACATGTGCTCTCCTCAGGATAGTGCCTATTACAAAACGGACGCAGGCGTTGATGGCTCTTTGCATCTTGATATCCCGAGTGGTATCAAGCCCGAAGAAAACAAACGATGCGTAGTCCAGATGGGGGAAGGCTCTCGACGAGAGATTTTCTTAGGCCGCGCGACAGGGCGTGTCTGTGGAAGCGAAGAGAGCGCAAGGTATGATGCACTCTCTGGTTGATTCTATTTACCTGGGGAGCCCAGTGCGGGGTGGGGGTAAAGACGACGCCCAGGATAATCGCCTTCTCCACAAAAGGAATTCTGATGCCATGGATGTGTATGGGGATGAGTGAAGATGAGTCTAGTCGAGTGATGTACGCGAGGCTGCCAAAAATCATGGCCTTGGATTTGCTATGGTTCAGTTTGAGACCATTATAATAGGACCAAGAGGCTATCGACTCAAGGTCACGATTTAGGCGGGCAATGCCTTGGTTGATGGAAGTAAAAGGACAGTGCAGGTAAATTTGTGTGTCATCGGCATAAATCATGTGGTTAGAATGAGAGAGGGAGTCCAGGAGATTATTGATGTAAAGTGAAAAGAGAAGAGGGCCGAGGACGCTGCCCTGCGGGACGCCTGTGTAGACAGCGCGCCAATCAGAGACAGCATCTCCATTCCCCCCCATATGGCCTGGTGATGGTTTAGAAGGTAGCTGTGTAGGAGAGTTATGGCACTATTGGAGAGGTTAAAGTGTTTCAGTTTCTTCAGTAGCTTCAGGTGAGGGACTGTGTCGAAGGCTTTTAAAAAGTCAAGTAGGACCATGATGGTGACTTCCTGACGGTTTATCGCCTCACGTAAGTCCTCAGTTACGCCAAGGAGGGCGGTCTGAGTGCTGTGTCCCCTCCTGAAGCCTGATTGAAGTGGATCGAGTAAGTTATTGTCTGAAATATGATCTGAGAGTTGACGAAACAGGATTCTTTCAAAGGTTTTAGAGACTTCACATAGAGAGGCTATGGAGCGAGTGTCTGCGGGGGAGGTCATTTGGCGAACTTTGGCCAGGGGGAGAAGGAGGGCCCTCTTCCACAATGAAGGAAAGTGTGAGTACTGTATGAGACTATTGAATAAAAAAATTAGGAATGGTAAGATGAAAAGGAGAGAGATGCGTAGCATTTTGTTGTAAATACCATCCTGCCCTATTGCCTTTGAAGTGGATGTGATGACTGCTTGATGGATTTCTTCTGAAGAAGTAGGCTTGAAGCTAAAAGGGGAGGCAGATGGGTTCGATGGAGATGTGCTGTTGAGTACCAGATTGATGTCATTTGAGGTGATCGGTGATGCTGAGGTGGTAACCGCGGTGTATGCGTTTATGAGAGTGTCTGGGGAGAATAACTGTGTAGGTGATGGTGGTGTAGGATCAGTGAAGTTTAGTTTGCGGAGAGCAGACCATTTCTCTTTGGGGTTTGTGGATGAGTCAATTAGTTGAGCGAAATATGAAATTTTAGCGGTAGAAAGGCGGTTTGAGACTTGGTTGCGGAGAAGGTGATAACATTCTATGTCCATCTGCAGTCCGGAAAGCCGGGCATCACGATAGGCTCTGTCTCTATCTGACATCATGTCTCTGATCTGGGAGGTAACCAATGGTTTTCTACGGGATGACAAGGTGATTTGTTTCATTGGGGCAAGGATGTCAAATGCTTTTAGCAGCGACATTGAGAAGCTAGTTGTGAGGGTGTCTAGCCGTTGTGGATCTATGTCAGAAATGGATGTAGCAAGAGATGAGAGTGAAGCGGAGATATGAGATGAGAGTAGTTCAGTGTTGATGTGCTTGAGATTGCGTGATAAGATGATTTTAGAGGTGCGTGGAACCTGTATGAAACGGTCATCCAATCCAGTCGTGCTCCGCGATGAAAGGCGTAGTGGACTGTTTGTAATGGATGAGCGCAGAGGGGTCTTTTAAGATGAAGATGTCGATCAAAGTATGTGATGGGTTGTTACGGTAGAAGGCGTGATGAGTCGGATGAGAGGGAACTAGGTAGAGTGAGTTTTCTGAGATTTTAGTGAAGAGAAATTGTGATGAGAAGGATGAGGTGAGCATGTTGATGTTGAAGTCGCCTGTGATGATGATGTTAGAATAAGCAGGAAGATGATCTGAAAGTGCGTCAAAGAATTGGTGAGGGAGGGCAGCTGAAGGGTGACGGTAAACTATGGCTATTAGGGCTCTATGAGATGCTATTGATATTTTGAGGATGAGAAATTCTGGTGTGTTGTCAAAGTCTGGGTCCGAGCTTGCGAGAATGATAGTTTTAAAGGAGTCACCGATGTAGGCACCAACGCCATCCCCCTCCTTTCCCGCTTTATCAACGCGGAACAGAGAATAACCCTGGAGGCCAACCACTGCATCTGGGGTGTCAGGAGTAAGGAAAGTTTCGGTGATGGTGATGACATCTGGAGACCTGTCCGTGACCAGGAGTTCAAGCTGTGCGTGGTGAGAATGATTGAGTCG